TTTCTATTTTGTAATTTCGAACAAGCTTAAACAAGCAGGCAACTAGCAACAGAAGAACCAAGCAAATGTTTGTAACCATGCCCAGCACCGTAATTGACGTTATTAAAACGCGAGCAGAGGCGAAAATCCCCAAACGCAAAACGAAATGGACTGTGCAAGTTTTGAAGGATTACACGCTTATTTAGATTCTAAATAAGGATTTTTGCCAAGGTAGCTCTTTTGGAAATACGTAGGTCTCGCGCCCGCGATTATGATATTTTTAAACAAAGTTTTGTTTCGTCTGATCACACATACTTCATCAGGGATTCGACAAGATGAACAAAATTGAACCACTAGTATACTGGACGTTTACAGTACAAACCACGCTCAAATTGGGGTGTGAACAGCAAAAAAAACCACAAACAGGAAATATTACGCAAATCCGGCGCAACAAATTGGAAATGTTACGAGTTGCAGCACTCATAAATTCATTTATAAATAAAATGTCCACAAATATTTTAATCTCGATGAACCCAAATATAAGATTTGTTGTTTTTCTTGTACTGTAAAAAAAAGAGATACTTTTTCTGTAGCTGTCACACAGTGAGCCACTTTGAATTTGTTGACGTAAAATAAGAAAATCAGCGAAGTCTTTTCGTTTTTCATCAAGAAATTATTTGCAACTGGTACAAATTTTATTTTTCTATAATTGTTAAGGACCTAGACTCTAATTGTATCAGACTTGTGATCAGTATCTTAGAGTTTTTTCGTTATTCTCCTCTTTTCCCTAATTTTCATGATTACTCTTACACCCACAGTATCAATCTTATACCCGAAGGAATTCTGTTTTTACGTCTTCGATAAACTACGGATCACTCTGAAAAAAAAAAAATTTGGGGGGGAATTTAAAAAACGATTCTTCCCAGATACTCACATTCGTGTAAACCAACATCCAGTGGTGATGGCTGTGTTTTGTTCTGTTTGGTGCATCCTGAAAAATTGTATCTTGCATGAATGGCTAGGAAATAGGTTTCTCGTCTTGAAATGCTCACTTTAGGAGACTAATTTAATTTGTCGTTAAGACAATAAACTGTCTTGATTATAATGGCTCATCTTGCCGTTCTTTTAAACTCTCAATTAGCAAATTTTTCTTTTGTTGTTATCGAAAAATGATCGAATTTTGGTTCTGTTCAGCGACAGTGATAAATTGAGGAAGTAACCAGTAAATCCTAATCAAATCTTTAATTTTCTATAAAATTAATTGCAAAATTCACAACATTTAAGAACATCTGGCAAGGATGACAGAGACCACTTCAATCTGGTGAAGTACTAACTTTAGTATCTTCATTAGTGATAGGAAAAGGGACATAAAACTTACCGGTAAAAATATCAGAATTACAAATTTGACAGACTTTTGTTTCCAAATTGTCTGAAAATGCATGCAATTTTACGGCGACATCTTATCATCGGCTACCATTTGGGAAATCAATCAAATAGATGCAAGGTTGTAATTTTCCCCGGTATCGGTTGGAGGTAACAGAACGCAACGAATAGGACCTTGCCAGACAAACCCCTTACATTTTGCGGGAAACTCTAGAACGAAGATCCAAGGCAAAAGAAATGCACTTACATTTGGCAATTTCCTAACTTCATCAATCAAATGATGGTCAATAGATTTCTTTATTGCTTTCGGTTATTAAAACTATCTACGTCACCTCACTTCTCTCCAGCACTTCCACGTCCTTTCATATATAATTTAATTTTGTCTTTAAGATTTAATACACAATTTCATTGGTGAGATGTTGGTTAAGTATAGAGACCTCTAGCTCGTGTGCATCTTAATCGTCGATTATAAGATCATAAAGCCTTTGGTTGTTTTTGCAATGGAAAAGTCTCACGGAACAACATTAAAAGGTCCAAATGGGGCTAATGAAACTGTCGATATGAAAAGATTTATGTTCCGTGCGCTGCATCAATACTAGTTATAGTTCTCACTAGAGCTGCCCCCGCCCTACAGTACCATTTTCTTTTTTTTTTTTTGAGTTGGGCTTGTTGTTTACAGTTGTGTAGTTATGACCATTTGCGGGAAAAACGTTGATACCTTGCGGCCGTGCAAGCGATCAAATCGAGATTTTTTTTGGTTATGATCTACCGAAAATACCCACATTCCCTCTTCTCCAGTCTTCCTCTATATTACGCGGGGAGTCCTAAGGTGCCTCCTCGGGTTTTTGGCCCTCTGGGGCCAAAAACCCTGCGGGGGCAATTAAAAACTAATAATCAAAGCTCTCCAAGTAGCTGATTACGAATTAAGAGGTAAAACAGTTTCCTTCTCGAAAGAGGCAATGTCCGGGAGTAAATGTCGAATGGGAGTTAAAATCCATATATGTTTATGTCACATTCGTCAATTTTATTTCCTTGCTTTTTTATATCTGTGTATTTGTGTATTTTTTTAATGTCAATTCTCTTGGGTGGGCGTCTTGTATGAGTCAGTGTCCCATTCGCGCCTTTTGCTATTGGGCTTTTATATCCTGTAGTTAATCTTGTTCCTTCTTATCATGTAATTATTTTCTCTTCATTTAATGCTAAATAGAGATTTAGAGTTCATTTGTTACACTATGTATAGGAAGAACGAAATTATTTGTCGAGTTTTCGTTGCCAATACAGCTACAAGTTGTTGACCTGAAAACTGAAGCCCAAATAACATAAAGCCACACTGCTTGTTTCTCGGAATGCAGCCCTGAATATTAGTTTTGTGTTCTAAATGTCGTCTTAGGATCTTTCTGCACTAACCACAAAGTTATTTATTTAGACAAATTTTCTGGCATCACAAGCATTTTACAAGTACGGATGGTTCGTCGCGACTTGACAAATTTTGGCTGAAGCGGACAAATTTTCAAACGTATACCGCCGACAAAATTTGTCGGCGGTATAGATGTATAAGTCGGTCTCAAAAAGCCAAATTTCGGATGATATGACGCCCTTACCCACCCAGTAAGAGTATAAACAAACAAATGGCAACCATCCAAACGAGAACACGATACAGCCGAGCTGCTCTTTTTTGTGGGAATAATTTTCTCTACAGGCTGCGTTTTAAAACCTTAATTTGACGATTAAAGGCTATCAATGCCAGAGATGCATAAGCCAGAATGGACATAACTGAACCTGTCACCCGACACCCCACTCCGCGAAATTCTAAGTTCCCGTATACAGGCTCGCTATCCAGAATGGCATGTCTATCGTTTCCAGGGCATGGAAAGTATATAAGTAAGTGCCAGATTATGAATGTGGCTGCGAGACAAATGGTGATGGCCATAGTCACTTCGACATCAATTTTACCTCGTCGATCAAGACCTAGAGGATCATGGCAAGGCGATTCAGACATATAAATCAGCTTTGAAGGTTGCAACCTCTTTCGTGAAAAAAAGTTTCTTGTCTGGTGGAACCTACGTGGTGAAACAATCCCAAGCTACGTTAAACATGACATCTCTATCACGTTGATTCAACTGTGAAATAAAGCCAAAGTGATAAATTGCAATTTGAGATTTAGAGCGGTTTTCGATTGAATTTCGAAAAATCAAAACCAAAGTAACACAAAGGCCGATCCGAAGAAAAGAAAATACCATTAAGAGCCAATGAGAGCTCGAAGTAGAACCAAAGAAGCGGGAAAACATGGGCGCCCAATCACAGAGCGTGCTAAAGTAAAACTAATGTAATACTGGATCAATTTTGTTACTCCATTGAAAATCTTGCTATCGCTCATAGGAGCGCGAGCTTAAAGGGGTCACTTTTAGACAGCAAAATTTTACTTTCAATGCACGAAAAATGGTCAAGGAAACTTGCTAGGCGCTGAGGTCGATTATTTCAAATCTTAAATACAGCTATCAACCAGAAAACGCAAAAACTCGTGTCATAGTCACTTTGACAACAAATATCACTAGGACAGATTTGGCCGGAAAAGCGATCCATTTTTCAAGAAAATTACTGCTTACTTCATCCAAGCAATGAAATTTTAAAGTGATCTGAAACCTTCACTCATAGAGCGAGCTTCAAGATAACATGAGCCTATAATTAGAGAATTCATAGCACTCAGTTTCCTAAGTTTTTTTTAACGATCTTCGGTAATATTTCAAAAGAGAAAGACCTTTTTCTGTGTTCAAATTGCAGGTCGTGAGAATGTCCAGCACTAACGAGATTTGTTTGAAAACATCATCGTAAAATACGAGGAAACTGATGGCTATGAACAGTTTGGCTCTAATTTTTTGTTAACTTCCGCTCATCAGCGGCGAGCTCTTGACGTCTCAATTTGGAAACCTATCGATAATGGCTATTTAGGAACACATTAACTAATCTGAACAAAACAAAAACGAAATTTGCCGAAAAAGGTAAATATTACTTATTGATTTGATTAAACGGAATATTCATCAAAATAATCAGCTTTTCAGATTTGTATTTCAAATATATCATTGCCAAAATCGAGGCCTCTTTTCTCATCACTAATAGAAATTTTAGCGTTAATAATTTACTGATTGCAACTTGACTTCGAATTTTTCACATTTGAATTTCAAAGAATAAAAGCTTTCGAGAGAGATCAGTAGCAGCTGTGTACAACCAAACTCAGTTTTTTAAAATTTTAAAAATACAATCGCTTTTTTCTTTTCTTTCCCCTTTTTTAACAGCAACAAAACAACATTTCTTTCAGTGAACAGCTATTAAAATCGCGGCAGGACCTTTCATTATCGCCCGGAAAAGTTGTTGTCGCAATCGCAAATTAATTTCTTCAAGAAGTTGTTAGCGATAAGAAACACTACAAACTAAGTTTCCCAAAGATTCTTATAAGAGACGTGTTATTTGGTTTGCGCTGAAAAGAGCCATCGCCTCTGCAGCTCACAGTTGTCAACATGAGTATGAGTAACAGTGAGGACTCGCTTGTTAACTCCTCCAAAGCAGTGTTCTTTTGTCCACGGGATCCGCTGTTTTTTTGGGACTTGGAGAACGAAGTATCCCTTAAACTGGTAATCGCCATCACTGCAATCGCTGCTCCTTTTACCACTTTCTTGAACACATTAGTCATCGTCACCATCCAGAAAACAAGAGAGTTACAGACGAACTCCAACATTCTGATCACTAGGTTGGCCATTACTGATCTGTTAGTGGGTGCGGTTTCAACGCCTCTGATCATCACAGTAGATGCATTAATTCTTCGAGGAACTGTATCAGAGAGCATTGTATGCAGTATAAATGAAAGCGCAGCATTTGTGCTGTATAGTGCTTACAGTGCTTCACTTATGCATTTAACTCTAATGGGTTGGGAGAGGTATGTTGCGATTGCAAAACCTATGAAGTACAAAGTTTTGGTGAGAAAACGAAGGATTAAGAGGTATTCAGGAATAGTTTGGATAACAGTTTTCACAGCCTTCGTGTTGCTAACGACATTACAAGCCGTCACTCTTCCTTCTGAATTTTTAACAGTTCTTCACCTTATTGAGGGTGTTTTTTGGCTCATCAGCTTTTTGGCGCTGGTGTATTTTTACACTTTGGTTTATAGCAAAGCACGAAAACAGAGCCAATGCCAAATCAGCCAAATAACTGCCAAGATCCAAAACAGAATTGCGTTTACGGCGTGTCTGTTAACCGCTGCCGTTTTCCTTTGTAGCCTTCCTATGGCCGCTTTTGTCGGTACAGTGGAATTTTTGCCCATTCTTCGCGCAAGTTCAGTTTTCCGATGGTCAGAAGTTCCCCTTTACTTAAACTCTCTTTTAAATCCTGTGCTCTATTTTTATAGAAACAGGCGATACAGGAAAGCTGCACTAAAATTGCTAAGATTTCGAATGCCTTTGAAAAATCGGTCAGTGGGTCCTTCTACAAGATGGCGTCGAGATTCTTTTGTGCTTGTAGATGAAAAATACTTTGGTGACACTGAAAGAACTCAATGTCTCCCACGATCACAGTCTTGGGCAGCAGATACACATGGACGGTTGGATATCATGCCCGGAATGCAAAATAAGTCAGCAATGAAGCGAAGATTTTCATGTCCACCCTTACTCAGCTATGGAAACTTGCGTGAGGTGATTCAACCTGTTACGCGCACTATCACGGTGCAGATTGAACTTACACCCGGAAGCAAACTGGCGCGGTATTAGAATTCCCACAACTGCAGGGTAGCGAGAGAAAAGTCTTTCGGAGAAAACACCTTTCTTTCATCCAAAAGCGCTCGTCAGAAATTAGCTGAAGTTAAGTCTCAGAGATGCAGTTCAGCCATATGACTTATAAACGATTAAGAGTACTTCCAGATAAAAAATATCCAATAAAAATTTTAAAAAGATCTCTTAACACTTCTTGTCGCACAATCTGTATAAATTTAATCACAACGGCTCGTCTTATTTGAAAATTGCTCTAAAAGCTGCGGGCAGTGAACCTGAAAAACTAAGTGAAGCAATCAAGATAAACTCTGGACACAAGTCATCTAGTGTTAAATAAAAATTCAAACTATAACTTTCTCTAAGTAATTTTTTTCAAGTACATCAGTTGGAATTTTCATCCAAAAGTTTGTATTTTGAAGTAAAAACGATGGGACACTAGGTATGTGCGTCTTTGCTCTTGATAATTTTTCTTTACACTTGATTTTTATGTGGCGAAAACATGAAACCTCTTCAAAGTAGGCAAATCTTTGTACTGTAGGAGATGAATGAAAATGACACTTCTCCAAATTTCAGACTTATACATTTTGCAAACTACACAATATTCATAGGAAACTTACGCTAGCGTCTGGAAATCACTAATTATCAAGATGTAGGGAACCTGTAGGATTTTGCCTTAAGATCGATCTCAATTTCCGGCCCGTTTTTTGCCCAAACGACCAAATCACGGCTGCTTTTCATTCTGGAGAATCTACGCATTTATAGCGATTTCATTACTACTTCGCAAGAAAACTAACATCAAAACGATTTTTCAAAATTGAGAGGTGAAATTCAGAGATTCATAACAAATTAAATTCATTCCTTTTTTGGTGGTTGTAAGTTTGTGATCGCTTTGTCTTGCATACATGTCATGAAACGTTTAGTTGTCATGTGAAACTGAGCAGCGTACGATTTGCTTGTGAGCCTAAACTGGGATACTTATTTTTATGTATTAACGAGTAGAACTTGATACTCTACTAGTCTGGCGTCAGCTCAGAAAAAAGAGCAGTATGCTCTCTTGCTTGGAGATAATGTCGCCTCAATTTATAGATTACTCTGGATAAGACGAACTTAAGAATCGACCGAATCGAATTCACGAAAAAGCCAAATATCCCATGCAGAAACACAACTGTGTATTTTTCACTGATTACGCGAACTTTTGATCAAGTACCAGAAGTATTCTCTAAGTAAAGTAAAGCAGACTTCTCAAAAGAAGATCGATCGCTTTCGTGAAGTCCTCCAGTAGTTTATCTTTACATCTGTGTCCATCTTGCTATCGCTAATTGATCTGAAATCTGCTAACCCACTGATTGCAAGTGATTTCCTCCTCTCAGCTTTAACAGATGTCCAGTACGTCAAGTTTCTTAGATTCGAATTTTATACAAAATTGAAGATTTTGTGTGAGTGAAACTGATTATTTCGTGAAATCGCGACGGACGGCGACGACTACTTACTTTTTATTTTGTGATGTCATGCTACAGATTGAAATTGCACCCAGAAAGAAACTGCTTAGGAGAGAGACAAAGATAATAGAATTGAACGAGATCAAACTTTTGATATAAAACCAGCAGTTGGTACGTTTATACACCTTGAAAGATGGCAGCGCGATTTCTGTGCGTCTGTAGATGCTAATGAGTGTGTCGATACCGTAATAGTTCAATGCCTCACACGGTCATAGTCCTGGGCAGCGGACACACACACGGTCGGTGGAACACTGATCATGCCTGGAGAGCCAGTTGTCGCAATCATGGACAGAATAATGTCATGTCCACTCTTGACAAGGCATAAAAACCATCTTGAAGTGTTTCAACCTTTCACTTGATCTGTAATACTACAGATTGAAATTGCACTTAGATAGAAACTGCTTAGGAGAGAGACAAAGATATTAGAATTGAACGAGATCAAACTTTTAATATAAAACCATGTATCCTCGGCATAAAATCACTTGTTCCACACTATAAAAAGTTAAGGCTCTGGCTTTTTGCTTTGTTAATAGAATAAACTTTTCAAAGTTAACAGAGAGTTTTAGATCCAAGATTAGTTACAGTACATCCAACGTCCAATCAGTGCATAGAGAGTTATCAGACGTAACCAATGAGAGCTTAAAGTCAAATAAAGCGCGGGAAAATGCGAGTGACCAGGCGGTGATTAGATTCAGTTTCTTTTTTGATTGGTTGAAAGGGGGTCGTGAGTTTCATTTAATACTCATTTCTTATAAGGTGGGAGAAGTGAACAAAACAATTCAATCAAGCGTAGCTAATTTGTGAAACAGCTTTTTATTTTAATTTAAAAAAATAATCAACTGTCCAAATCCGTACTCGATTCACGAGGAATTTTCACTCTTATTTAGTGCGGTAAGAATAAAATGTAATGTTTATATTTTAAACTCTCTCCCGCATTAAGACAAAATCCTACGAGTTAAATCTATCAGCTTGAAAGTGTAATCTTTATTTCAAACCAAATTCTCCGACATAATTTATAGAGATATCTGTAGCAGGTGGATGGGAAAATTGATAATCAGTGCGTAGCAGTCGGCGGGCTGAACAAATATACTCTACATAATTAGACTTTGAGCCAAATTCTAACTACTTTGAACTTGAAGCTTAAATCAAAGTCTTTGTTAAGTAACGTTCTTTGATCTTAAAACAACCTACTAAAACAACCTTCACTAGATACCAGTACTCTCACTCTCCAGGCAAATGTCAAAGCACCTTTAGTGGTGGACTTAAATTACAACAGAGCAAATATATCAAGCCTGGCGAAGGTGAAGGGGACGCTTAAGCTAAAATGAAATTTTGAGCCTAAGACGAAAAACATCGAAATCCCTATGGCTTTTATGCTCCGTAGAGCTTCGAGCATTTACTAAAGAAAAAAAGAACAGCTACATTGCTGACCTAATTCATGCAAAACTAGTCTGTAGAGTAACGGACACAAATTTCACTTCTTATGTCAAATAGGGGAGCTGGAAAAGGAGATATTTCCTCTTTAGTGAAACACATTACTCTAGGAGACAAGTCTAAAAAATATACCCTGAAAACACGAACGGCAGGTTAATGATGAAATTATTTCATGCAAGGAGACCCGATTTGAATCAAACCTTCATCTCTGTTTCTGTTTTAATCCGTATCAGCTTCAGTTATCTCCTCAATCTTGCTATTTGCATTCCTTTTGTTTTGCGGGGAAAATGTCATTTCAGTCTCGTTCTTTCAGCTTTATTAATCATAAAATCAAATTCAAAACACACCGGTATGTTTCTATATCCAGAAATTTCAGATGTTCATCCTTGATGGTTTTTAAAAGCTAGGGCTCTTCCTCATTAACTTTCTTAACGATTCGGTTCATTTGTACGAGGGCTCAAAGGAGTTTTGCGGTAAGTTTAAAACCACATTTTCTTCACTATTTCACAAGGCGATTTAAGGTGGCTGAAGTGGAGAATGAAAGGATTTGCAAATGCTGACTGATATATAATTACAAGAGATATGAGAGATTTGTGAGTGTCAACTGAGTGTTTTTACAGTTTTCTACGTCATCACCCACTAATTCATTACCATTCTACGGGAAACTTTTAAGACAAAGTAAGGTCACTCTATGCACCAGAAAACTGAGTTTCAAATGTTTCGAAATTTTTCTTCTATCGGAATGGGTTTCTACATATAATAAGCTATATATTTACGCAAAAGAAAATTTCGTGTTGTAGGCACTTTAAACTGCAGGTCGTGCGAATGTCGAGCAATAAATAGATTTGTTTTAAAACATCATCGAAAAAGACGAGGAAACTGAGGGCTATTAACCGTCTGGTTCTGAGTTTGTGTTATCTTTCCTTCATTAGCTGCGAGCTCTTGACGTCTCAACTTTGCAAACCTATTTGATAATGGCTATTTAGGGACACATTTAGTTACCTGAATAAAACAAAAACGAAATTCGCTGAAAAAAATAAATCTTATTAATTGATTTGATTATGTGGAATATTCGTCGAAAAATCAGCCTTTCAGATTTCTATTTCAGATATATCATTGCCAAAATCGAGGCCTTTTTCCTCATCACTAATAGAAACTTTAGCGTTAATAATTCACTAATTGCATTTTGACTTTGGATTTTTCGAATTTAAATTTCATAGAAAATTAAAAGCTTTAGAAAGAGATCACTGACAATTGTGTACAACCAAACTCAGTATAAGAAAGATGGTAAGTTTAGAGCTCGGTAAAGAAATAGTGAGAAATATTTTTTTCGTCTTCTAACGAGTGTGAGACAAAGTAAAATTTCTGAGTTCCCATGAGGACTCAGAATCCTCATGAAAACTCAGAATTTTTTCTTTGTCCCATCTTTCAACATTTCTTTAATTGAACGCTTATTAAAATCGCGTCAAGACCTTTTATTATCGTCCGAAAAGTTGTTATTGTAATCGCAAATCAATCTCTTCAAGAGGTTGTTCAAGATGAGAAGCACTTACAACATAGTATCCCAGAATATCTTATAAGGAACGTGCTATTTGGTTTGCGCTGAAATAGCCATCGCCTCTGCAGGTCACAGTTGTCAACATGAGTGTGAGTAACAGTGGGGACTCGTTTGTTACCTCCTCCAAAGCAGTGTTCTTTTGTCCAAATGATCCGCTGTTTGTTTGGGACTTGGAGAACAAAGTATCCCTTCAGCTG